ACAAAAACAAAAAAAAAAAAAAAAAAAAAAAAAAGAAGCCACCCACACAAACCGGAACTGTTTTGAGAGCTCCTGCCTGTGAAGAGGGGGACTTGGTGCGAACTGGGTAGGAGGATACCATGTTCAACGGTGCCCAGGGAGAGGGGAGAGGGAGGTGGGCAGAAGCCAGAAACTTGCAGTCTCCTGTGAAGCCCTGAGCAGAGCCTGTTCTTAACCCAGTTAGGTCCTCACATTGGGACGCATAGCCTCAGAATGCAGAAGCTCCGACTGGGGGAGGGAGGTAAGGGTCTCAGCGCTCCTGCAAATCAGCAAGAGGCAAGAGGGAACCAACCCTCCAAGCCCCTGGAGCCAGATGCTCAGCCTCCTGAAGTACAAGAGCAACATTTCTGGGGCAGGAGTTTCAGGAGCCTTGGCTCGGGGCTGCTTGCCAGAGCTGGGGCGATGAGGAGACACTGAACATCAAAGATGCCAGAGGGTGGACTGACAGGTGAGCTTGGGTGATCTAGGAATGAAAGCGGGGTGACTCCAGCGGGGCGACCTTCACCTGGGGTGGTGGCTGTTCCCAGATGTTCTGACCAGTTTCCTTCCCAGTCACTGGCCCACAAAGAGTGAGAAGGGCCCAGAGGACTCACTCAGTGCTGGTACAGAGTCAAACATAAATAGGAGCAGAAATGAATGAAAATGGAGCCACAATACACAACCAAGCCCCAGGCTTCAGGGCAGGACTGCGGACAGAGCCAGGGAGGCAGCAAAAGCCCAGGCACGCTGTGACTCCAGGATGTGCAGACAGGAGCAGGGGTGGGGCAGGAGAGGACTCGTGGCCTGGAGCAATGGAGTAGTGTTTCTCAGAATCCAAATTTAGCCTCTATTTGTCACAGCTCTGCTCATGTCCTCTTTGGGACACAGTGGCCCCGGCAAGGCCTGGCTCACCCTCCACCAGCCTGCTCTTGTGTCCCCTCTCTTCCTTCGCTCCTGGATCCCTGCCTCCGTCTGCCAGCCTTTCCCTGGGTCTGTTAGGATCACGGCTGGCATGAGAGGCCAGTGAGCTGCAGGCCAGGCAGGGAGATCGCTGAGACTGGCCTTCCTGAGTGGGCACTGCTGCACCAGGGCTGCTTCTGCTGTAGGGAAGAAGGCATATGTCAGAGGGGCTTGGAGGCAGCTGGGCACACTGCACTGCAAGAGCGATGGCGGTTTTAAGCATCTGTTGGTCTCTGCAGAGAAAGCAGAAAACATCAGACACCCCACCCCAGTGTCAGAGGCAGGGTGAACGTCTGAACTCCTGCTGGACTAATCAGGAGGCAACAGGACCCCCGGGGTGTTTCCATGTGCCAGGAACACCAGTAGAAAGAATCTTTTTGCCCCTGGAGGCTGAAAAAACGCAAGAATGAGAGAGACAGGGATGGGGAAGGGCCCAGGGTGAAGGCTTCATGATCTCAGGAGCCGATGGTCCTCACACTGGTCACCCTTCAGGACCACACAGAGGTCTATCTCTGAGACCGGAAGTACAGCATCCCCACCTGGAGTTCAAGGGCAGGAGGCAGCAGCAGCAGCTGTGGCACTGAAGACACAAGGACAGAGAAGCCGTCCACCCTCATGTGGACGTGGACGTGCAGAGGGACAGAGGCAGGTGCCGCCGCTGACTCCTGATCAGTGGCTCACTGTTCAGCAGGACACGCCTGGTCCCTGCCTGCTTCTCCCTTCTTCTGGGGGGCACTTCTCTGACTGGGGCTTGGTGGATGGGGTGTCTGCGGCTTGTGGGGTCTCCCTGCAGACACCCACCTGCAGAGACTGGAGCGCCACCAGCTCCAAGCCCAAGGGCACAGGCCCTGAGCTGGCGGGGTTGAACATCAGTTCTGAGGTTTGGTTTTAGGGAATTCTGAACCCCACAGGTCTAAGCCAGATCCCCCATTCCCACTCTTAACAGAACTAAAGCAGGTGTTTTGACGCCCCCATTTGTCCCTTCCTTTTTTTTGCCACTAAGTTGATTTAGAACTCAGGTGGGGAACCCCCCCAGAGATGTTTAAGCACGTGCATGGGCTGGTTGGGGTGCACATCTGATTATTCCCATCGCATGGATAGGAACAGATTCCGTGGCAGAAGAGGAAGAGGTTCAGGAGTGAGAGGTCCTAGGGAGCCAGGACGGGGAGTGCTGGGGACCCTGGAGGTCCATCTGGACACCTTCGGAGGGCCAGGGCAGCACGAGGGGGAGGCGGCCCAGGGCCACATCCTGGGTCCCTGCGTGCAGCACACATCACCCCACCCTCTGGTTTCACGTCTACTGTGTCCACAGTGGTGCTAGGCAGGGAGTCCTGGTCCCCTGCCTTGCAGCCCGTTGACACCGCTCGTGCCTTTCCACAGTCCCAGCCGGCGAAGCTGGCCGGACTGGTCCAGGGCACAAGCCAGGAAGGAACCCTGGACCTTGGCCTCTCCTTTCAGCACCTGAGCGTCAAATTCAGCGCTGACCCAGAACCGCGTTTGCTCCCGAACGTGGTTCCAGCCCAATCTGCACTCCCCTCTAGTGGCCGATCGCGGCATTGCGGTCTCCTTACGCCCTGGTTCGGATGTCCATCAGAAAATCCTCTGGTTCAGACACGGCCTAAATACCTTTCCATTTAAGTAAGCTCTGTCATTTCCTTCCAAATAAAGGCGAATCAATTTAAAGAGTGGGTTCTGGGACGGTTTTAATAGTCGACAGCCGGTCCAATCCCCCCTTCACCCCCCTACCCCCGCCGCATTTCGGAAGCACCAGGGGAGGGAGCCCCTGCCTTCTCCAGCTCCCTCCGGCCGAAGCCCAGACCTGCCCACCGCCCTCACCCGGGCCCTGAAGGGTAACCCCGAGAGACCGTGCAAGCTGCCTGATTACTGCAAATCACTCCTTGGAAATCGAATGCATTCCTACGCATCACATACACTACAAAAATGGAGGGTAGGCATAGTGCGAGGCTTCGAGAGGGGACCCCAGAGGTGCTTCACGCTGTGCTGGTCTGAAATGCCCTGGCCCACCCATGCCTCACACCTCTCCTCCCTGGTCTGCCTTTGCCTCGGCCAGCATTCAGGGTCCTCCACCTCCAGAAGGCCTTGGAGCCCAAACTCTTAGCCCCACCCAGCTGTTGCTTACTCAGAGCCCAGCCTCCTTGACGGAGGAACGTTCTGCAAAGCCCACCATGCCTGTTACTGCGCATGGTTAACTGGAACAGCCCCGGATTGTCCTGGAGCCTAGGACTCCCGGGCTAAGAGTGTGGTGAGAAGGACGAGCACCAGTGGCCGTCTCGGTGGCCTCCACCCGGCACGTGGAAGCAGCCCATCGGCTTGCAAGTGGATCCTTCCATCAAGTTGGAAGGCCCGTAGCAGGGGCCTGTGCCGGAGAGCAGAATAGAGAAATGCTGACAGAAAAGGTAGCTTCACAGACTTGGTGGTTACTAGACAGGAAATGGGTTGTCCAATCATAGAAAGAGGCGTAGTCCAATGGCCCCACACAGAGGGCTTGGGGTCCCAAGTGCATTTCTAGCAAAGGTTTTAGAGGAACTTGAAAATGAAATTGGCTGATCTCCCTCAAGGTCATGCAGGTCTCTGAAACCGGTGTGGCAGCCCCGCCTGGTGCATGCATTTCCTGTGGGTGTGAATGCTGTGCCCATGAAGCAAGCGGGCAGCACAATAGCTCTTGGGACCCAGCTGGGTCTGACTCACTCAGGGGCCCTGGGAACACACGCATGAGTGACCCCTGCTGCTTTGCTGACCATCCTGTGTCTCCACTTGTAATGGGGTCTGCCAAAGGCGGGCAGCCTCCAAAGCTGCCAGGGGAAGCCGTTCTTCAGGAGCAGGTGGCCTCCAGGGCCTTCTGGTACGATGGCTATGGGGGCAAAATGCTTGGCACAGTTATGCCAGTTCTCAAAACAATGACACTGAAGTTGAAAGCCTGCCTGTCTTTTTGATACTGATCTGTTTTGTTGGGGCATGAAAGGGATGAAGGGCAAGTTCTCTGAGACCAGATGCCATTTCTTCAGCCACTAACCAGTAGAGAATGGCTGGTGGCTTCAGTCTGCTAGATGACAGCTTCTCCTCCTGAGAGAGTGGAGACCCCTCCGCATGCCTCTCACGTAGGGTCTCTGGTCTACAACTCCCGGTCCCATGAATAACTCCAGGGCAGGTTCAGCCCATGGGAGAGACCATGGTATCCATGGGCTTGAATTCCAGGTTGAGGCATCAGGGCGACAATGGTAACCTTGAACTTTGCCTGTAAGAACCAAGTGTTGAAGCTGGGTCCTTACTGGGGTGAGTCTCAGCTTTATCATTTGTCATCCAGACAATGGCACAATGCAGAAACCCAGGATCTATGTTTTGAATATCTTGAATAAAGACAAAGCAAAAATAACTAGTCAGCTCCTGTACAGAACTCCAGGGCACACAAGGCCTTGCAAAAACTTCCAAGAACAGACATATCCGGGGGCATGTAGGGCATGCAGAGTCTTAATCCCCTTCTCAGAGACATGTAAGAGGGGTCATAGACCCAGGGAGAGCCACAGCTGGGACCACAGCGTTATATTTTCAGTGCCTCACATGATTAGGTGGTTTCGTGTCAACCAAGTATTACTGACTGGAGAATCTGCACAGAAGTGTTATGGGCAGGTCTAGAGGCACCGGAGGAATTAACTGTCCTGCGGCACCCTGTGTCGGTCTGTGTCTACACTGAGTTGCCTGACGGTAAA